GGCAGAACTCTCGAAATCCCCAACAGGTAAACAGGTAAGTATTGACTGTCAAAGTGTCAATATTTGACATATTTATTTTCATAAAATAGCAGATTCGTGGTGTACAGGACAATGCCCGAATCAGAGCTGTGATAGCTTGTTCTGTGGCAACTTTGGCAGTATTGTACTGCACTTTTGGTGGACTGGGAGAAGGGAAGGCAATTATCAAGGGAAAAGTGCCAAGCCATGACGACTATGTAGCACTTGGAAGGGGGTCAGGATAAGGATTTGGGACGGGACCGGGGGAGGGGAGGAATAGTGCTTAACGACTTGGACGGTCGGGGATTGAACGCCGACCTGCATGAAGCGAGGTCGTCGCTCTACCGTCCAGTCTTAAGTGGTTGGACAGGTAGTGAGAGTTGTTGAGTTGTGAGAGTCCAGGACCTGATTGGTAAGACCCAGACCCAGGGGGGCCAGATTCACGAAGCAGTTACACAAGCACTTACGAACGTGTACATCTTTCCTCAGTCTTTGGTTACATTTATTAAACAGTTTACAAGCATGACAACTTGCCAATCAACTGTTGTTATTGTTATAAACAGCCTCCTGGTGCTTCGGAGCTCATTAACTGTTTAATAATTGTAAACAAAGCCGCCAAAGGTTGAGAAAAGATGTACAGGCTCGTAAGTGCTTGCGTAACTGCTTCGTGAATCTGGGGTCGATTTAATTTTGGACACGTTTCTGGAAGATATAACATTAACTATTTGCGCGGATTGCAAAACTATCATTCCAGAAATCATTTTTTGGTAATAAATTAATACTTTCCTAGTTTTTTTTTACATTTTCCCCAACTAGTTGATAGAGAGGTGTTGGACAGCGATGATTTGCAACAATTACGAGGCTTCAGTTGGCGTCATTGCATAAGTCATTATTTGACTTATTGCAATATATGCAAATGAGGTTTTGTGTTGTGGTGAGCGAGGTTTCCGGTGATGGTGTGACCTCGACGGGCGCTAATTATAGCGGCTGGTGTGTCCTGCGGGAAGTGTCCTGTCGCTAGGTCACATCCTGCCGGCAGGCTGTGTTGTCGTGCTTGTCAGTGTTGGGGGACTGCTACATAGGCCACACACCTGCCTACCTGGTGTGTGGATGTGTTAGATAGGCCACATACCTGCCTACCTGGTGTGTGGGTGTGTTAGATAGGCCACATACCTGCCTACCTGGTGTGTGGGTGTGCTAGATAGGCCACACACCTGCCTACCTGGTGTGTGGGTGTGCTACGTAGGCCACACACCTGCCTACCTGGTGTGTGGGTGCTACATTCACTCCGGGATCCGCCTTTGGTCTCCTACCTCAGCCTCTCAGCTCTGGGACCCGCCTCTGGTCTCGTGCCTCTCAGCTCCGGGACCCGCCTCTGGTCTCGTGCCTCTCAGCTCCGGGACCCGCCTCTGGTCTCGTGCCTCTCAGCTCCGGGACCCGCCTCTGGTCTCGTGCCTCTCAGCTCCGGGACCCGCCTCTGGTCTCGTGCCTCTCAGCTCCGGGACCCGCCTCTGGTTTTCATACCTCTGCCTCTCAAATCTGGGACCAGCTTGGGTATATATACTTGACTAGGGGAGGAGGTCGCCACTCTGGCGCTACTAGTTCCAGATTTACCTACGAGGAGCCCCCGCGTGCCTTACACGCAAGTCCACTACGGGCTCGCCATAGCCCGTGCTGCTTGGAACATTTTGTTCCAGGTAGCGACTCTTAAACAACAACAACAACAGCAGCCTCGCGTCTTGAATGACTCGTTCAGAGGCCTCTAGTGCGTCTTTACGTTTGTTTACGTTTGTGACGTCACTTGGATCGTGGCTCTCCCAGCTATCGTGGCCAGTCTCCGCCGCTGCTGCTGCTACTATTCCTCTCCGGATTTGGTACTGGCTCTTGTGTTATAGTTTAGCGAAGTCGCCTAATTGTGTTTGCGGGTGTTGAGCTTGGGCTCTTTGGTCCCGCCTCTCAACTGTCAATCAACTGGTGTACAGGTTCCTGAGCCTATTGGGCTCTATCATATCTACACTTGAAACTGTGTATGGAGTCAGCCTCCACCACATCACTTCCTAATGCATTCTAGTGTGTGTGTGTGTGTGTGTGTGTGTGTGTGTGTGTGTGTGTGTGTGTACGATGACCATTTTGCCACAAATGCCTCAAATGCACGCGCGTGCGGTTGGCAGCCACACGCGCTGTTGAGATCACTAGATTCCGTAGCTTGAGCCGCAGGTAAATCTAGGCGAACACAGACCAGCGGGAAGGTTAGGTTAGGGTTGCGCCGGATGGAAGCGGACCTCATGTCACCTGATGTGTCGATATAGTCTAACCTGACCTAACATGACCTAGACTAACTTAACCTGATTTGAACTGACTTAACTGCCATATTTAGGGTTAATTGGTTGTTTTTCTGCCCGACTAGGGTGACTGGTGGGAGGGTCACCCTAGTTAGTGTCTGGGAAACGTTCAGTGCCTCACCCACCTGTTGCTCTCGAGGAGTTGCTCTCGAGGAGTTGCTGTCGAGGCGTTGTCCTCGAGGCGTTGTCCTCGAGGAGTTACTCTCGAGGAGTTTAGCAGCAGACACCGACACCATGGACCACCAGGGAAGGTACTGTACCCGTAACAGTACTGTATATGAGGAGAGCGCTATAGTCATCATTAATATATGCTGTTATACCGAATGACCCGAAATAACCAAGTTTGAGCACATCGGAAATCAAACCGTTATATCAGAATGTAATTAATATACATATAAATTGAATACTTTGTGTAGCGAATTTGATGGTGTAATAAATCGTTGGGGAGTTACTAATGTGGAGTGTCAGGTTATCTTGAGGTTATCTTAAGATGATTTCGGGGCTTAGCGTCCCTGCGGCCCGGTCCTCGACCAGGCCTCCTTTTTGTTACACACCCCTACCCCCCCCCCCAGGAAGCAGCCCGTAGCAGCTGTCTAACTCCCAGGTACCTATTTACTGCTAGGTAAACAGTGGGCATCGGGGTTGAAAGAAACTCTGCCCATTTGTTTCCGCCTCCACCGGGGATCGAACCCGGAACCTTAGGACTACGAATCCCGACCGCTGTACACTCAGCCGTCAGGCCAGCCAAGGCCACGAGACTGGCTGGCCTGTTCACGTGTTCTACACCGGTATCAGAATGTTGAAGCCTTCTGACCTCTTGATACCAACGCCTGAACCATGACGAGCGGCAAGTCTGTGATACAAGTTCTGATCAGGACTATATTTGGTTAATGAGACGTATTAGGAGTTATTGTGAAGGGGGGGGGGTGAAGGGGGGTTAGGGGGGGGCGTTTGTGAGGGGCCAGGGAGGGGGAAGGGGTGAGGGGGGGGGGGAGGTTATTGTAAGGGCAATAGGTGACGGTTGTTTACCCTGCATAGCGGTTATGGTGTTATTGTTTCCCCTCCCCCCTCCCTTTGTCTCCCCCCCTCCCTCCCTACCTCTCTATATATACTTCCTCCTCCACCCTTTCCTGCTATTCCTCCTCCCTCACCATTCCCATCGTCCGTTGTGTTATGTGGTTGAGTTAGCGAGTGCTCGGTGTATGAGGCTGGTGGCTCAGAGGCCCACATAGCCATCACAAACAGGTTGATCTGGTAATTCCACCAACAACTTGCCACCTCGGAGATGAAATTGACAGATTGAGAATGAAGTTTGACGCTTCAGTGACCATGAAAAGCCACGTCCTTAACCTAGGCCGAAAGGCAGCCAGGGACCTTTTCAGTGCATCTCACACCTTCTTGACAGCAGTGACTGCAAAACCTTATGTGAAGTACAAGTTCGCTCCCATCTTGGGCATGCACCTACTCCTCTGGAGTGCCCGCCCTCAATCATAATTTCGACACAGTGGAGCACCGTGTGAGAAAGCCTATATCTTGTCTTACTGTTATGTACCAGGCCTCAAAGTACCGCACCTGGTCCAACTCGGTGGACTACTCATGGTGAAACTGCCTTTCTCAACACCATCGATCACTGCATCGGCGATCATTCCTGCCTAGGCTGACTCCCATCTGGGACTTGTTGGTTTAACAGGTTGATACACGGGAGATCAGGTCAACTGATCACATATAGGCTCTGGCTAATATTCCTTATATTCCTAATTAAGAATCTCATGAAATGAGTCTCTCGGGAAGGCTTCAGAAGAGCTCTTGTAGCTCTTGTAGCTCGTGAAGCTCTTGTAGCTCTTGTAGTGTCACAGCAACCTCAGTGTCAGCCCTAATGAACTGTGTCAGTTCTTAGTCTTCGTTAAATACAAGAGGGAGGGAGGAGGAGGAGAGGGAGAGAGGAGAGGGAGGGAGGGAGAAGGGGAAGGAGGGAGGGAGAAGGGGAAGGAGGGAGGGAGAAGGGGGAGGGAGGGAGGGAGAAGGGGGAGGGAGGGAGGGAGAAGGGGGAGGGAAGGAGGGAGAAGAGGAGGGAGGGAGGGAGGGAGGGAAGGAGGGAAAGGGGGGGGGGAGAGTAGTCTATTAATTTCGAGTGTTATTGACAACTGAGGAAATAGACATTTGACACTTGGAGATGTACTTAGAATTAGAATTTGTAATGTGAACTCACTTGCAAATTTTCTCGGCTAAGCATTACGTTACTTGGCTTGTACGGTGAAGGATCGGTGCGTCTGACGTACGGTACGTTCACTGTCTGCTGCTGCTCTGACGTACGGTACGTTCACTGTCTGCTGCTGCTGCTCTGACGAAGGTCACATTCACTGTCTGCTGCTGCTGCTCTGACGTAGGTCACGTTCACAGTCTGCTGCTGCTGCTCTGACGAAGGTCACATTCACTGTCTGCTGCTGCTGCTCTGACGAAGGTCACGTTCACTGTCTGCTGCTGCTCTGACGTAGGTCACGTTCACTGTGTCTGCTGCTGCTCTGACGTAGGTCACGTTCACTGTCTGCTGCTGCTCTGACGTAGGTCACGTTCACTGTCTGCTGCCGCTCTGACGTAGGTCACGTTCACTGTCTGCTGCCGCTCTGACGTAGGTCACGTTCACTGTCTGCTGCCGCTCTGACGTAGGGTACGTTCACTGTGTCTGCTGCTGCTCTGACGTAGGTCACGTTCATTGTGTCTGCTGCTGCTCTGGTGTAGGTCACGTTCATTGTGTCTGCTGCTGCTCTGACGTAGGTCACGTTCATTGTGTCTGCTGCTGCTCTGACGTAGGTCACGTTCACTGTGTCTGCTGCTGCTCTGACGTAGGTCACGTTCAATGTGTCTGCTGCTGCCCTGACGTAGGTCACGTTCAATGTGTCTGCTGCTGCTCTGACGTAGGTCACGTTCATTGTGTCTGCTACTGCTCTGGCGTAGGTCACGTTCATTGTGTCTGCTGCTGCTCTGGCGTAGGTCACGTTCACTGTGTCTGCTGCTGCGCTGGCGTAGGTCACGTTCACTGTCTGCTGCTGCTCTGGTGTAGGTCACGTTCACTGTGTCTGCTGCTGCGCTGGCGTAGGTCACGTTCATTGTGTCTGCTGCTGCTCTGGCGTAGGTCACGTTCACTGTGTCTGCGGCTGCTCTGACGTAGGTCACGTTCAATGTCTGCTGCTGCTCTGACGTAGGTCACGTTCAATGTCTGCTGCTGCTCTGACGTAGGTCACGTTCAATGTCTGCTGCTGCTCTGACGTAGGTCACGTTCATTGTGTCTGCTGCTGCTCTCACGTAGGTCACGTTCACTGCTGCTGATCTGACGAAGGTCACATTCACTGTCTGCTGCTGCTCTCACGTAGGTCACGTTCACTGTGTCTGCTGCTGCTCTGACGTAGGTCACGTTCACTGTGCTGCTGCTCTGACGTAGGTCACGTTCACTGTGTCTGCTGCTGCTCTGACGTAGGTCACGTTCACTGTGCTGCTGCGCTGACGTAGGTCACGTTCACTGTCTGCTGCTGCTCTGACGTAGGTCACGTTCACTGTGTCTGCTGCTGCCCTGACATAGGTCACGTTCACTGTCTGCTGCTGCGCTGACGTAGGTCACGTTCACTGTGCCTGCTGCTGCTCTGACGTAGGTCACGTTCACTGTCTGCTGCTGCTCTGACGTAGGTCACGTTCACTGTCTGCTGCTGCCCTGACATAGGTCACGTTCACTGTCTGCTGCTGCGCTGACGTAGGTCACGTTCACTGTCTGCTGCTGCCCTGACATAGGTCACGTTCACTGTCTGCTGCTGCGCTGACGTAGGTCACGTTCACTGTCTGCTGCTGCGCTGACGTAGGTCACGTTCACTGTGCCTGCTGCTGCTCTGACGTAGGTCACGTTCACTGTCTGCTGCTGCTCTGACGTAGGTCACGTTCACTGTCTGCTGCTGCCCTGACATAGGTCACGTTCACTGTCTGCTGCTGCGCTGACGTAGGTCACGTTCACTGTCTGCTGCTGCCCTGACATAGGTCACGTTCACTGTCTGCTGCTGCTCTGACGTAGGTCACGTTCACTGTGCCTGCTGCTGCTCTGACGTAGGTCACGTTCACTGTCTGCTGCTGCTCTGACGTAGGTCACGTTCACTGTCTGCTGCTGCCCTGACATAGGTCACGTTCACTGTCTGCTGCTGCGCTGACGTAGGTCACGTTCACTGTGCCTGCTGCTGCTCTGACGTAGGTCACGTTCACTGTCTGCTGCTGCGCTGACGTAGGTCACGTTCACTGTGCCTGCTGCTGCTCTGACGTAGGTCACGTTCACTGTCTGCTGCTGCGCTGACGTAGGTCACGTTCACTGTCTGCTGTTGCCGCTCTGGCGGGTTCGTCGGCAAAGATTATACCAGAGCCCCATTAGACCAGGCTGAACAAGCCCGCTAACAACCATGGTTGGTAACGGGCTGGTGGTGAATTAGGAGCCATGATTACTGGAGGTAGTAATGGTTAGGAGCTCCTGTTGATCCTCAGAGGTGGTGATCCTTGAGAGGGTCTTCGGTGGTGATCCTGGGGTCGTGGTGATCGACCTGACCCCCGTGACCCCCCCGTGACCCCCCTCCCGTGACCCCCCCCCGTGACCCCCCCCCCGTGACCCCCCCGTGACCCCCCCCCCCCCGTGACCCCCCCCGTGACCCCCCCCCCCCCCCGTGACCCCCCCCCCGTGACCCCCCTGTGACCCCCCCGTGACCCCTATTCTAACTGTAGCATTTACCGTGGAGCGGCGCCTCGTTAGCTTTCACCCGGCTCAGACACAGACTGGTGCTGTTTAACAGTCACGATTGGCGACTTGTGAAGATGGTGGTAACGGTGCCAGGGGTGGGCCAGGCAGTAACGGTGCCAGGGGTGGGCCAGGCAGTAACGGTGCCAGGGGTGGGCCAGGCAGTAACGGTGCCAGGGGTGGGCCAGGCAGTGACGGTGCCAGGGATGGGCCAGGCAGTAACGGTGCCAGGGGTGGGCCAGGCAGTAACGGTGCCAGGGGTGGGCCAGGCAGTAACGGTGCCAGGGGTGGGCCAGGCAGTAACGGTGCCAGGGGTGGGCCAGGCAGTAACGGTGCCAGGGGTGGGCCAGGCAGTAACGGTGCCAGGGGTGGGCCAGGCAGTAACGGTGCCAGGGGTGGGCCAGGCAGTAACGGTGCCAGGGTGGTGCAGGCAGTAACGGTGCCAGGGTGGGCCAGGCAGTAGCGGTGCCAGGGGTGGTGCAGGCAGTAACGGTGCCAGGGGTGGTGCTGGCAGTAACGGTGCCAGGGGTGGTGCTGGCAGTAACGGTGCCAGGGGTGGTGCTGGCAGTAACGGTGCCAGGGTGGGGTAGGTAGTAACGGTGCCAGGGTGGGCCAGGCAGTAACGGTGCCAGGGGTGGTGCAGGCAGTAACGGTGCCAGGGTGGTGCAGGCAGTAACGGTGCCAGGGGTGGGCCAGGCAGTAACGGTGCCAGGGGTGGTGCTGGCAGTAACGGTGCCAGGGATGGTGCTGGCAGTAACGGTGCCAGGGGTGGGCCTGGCAGTAACGGTGCCAGGGGTGGTGCTGGCAGTAACGGTGCCAGGGGTGGGCCTGGCAGTAACGGTGCCAGGGGTGGTGCTGGCAGTAACGGTGCCAGGGGTGGGCCTGGCAGTAACGGTGCCAGGGGTGGGCCAGGCAGTAACGGTGCCAGGGGTGGGGCAGGCAGTAACGGTGCCAGGGGTGGGGCAGGCAGTAACGGTGCCAGGGGTGGGCCAGGCAGTAACGGTGCCAGGGGTGGGCCAGGCAGTAACGGTGCCAGAGGTGGGGCAGGCAGTAACGGTGCCAGGGGTGGGCCAGGCAGTAACGGTGCCAGGGGTGGGGCAGGCAGTAACGGTGCCAGGGGTGGTGCAGGCAGTAACGGTGCCAGGGGTGGTGCAGGCAGTAACGGTGCCAGGGGTGGGGCAGGCAGTAACGGTGCCAGGGGTGGGGCAGGCAGTAACGGTGCCAGGGTGGGCCAGGCAGTAACGGTGCCAGGGGTGGGGCAGGCAGTAACGGTGCCAGGGGTGGTGCAGGCAGTAACGGTGCCAGGGGTGGGGCAGGCAGTAACGGTGCCAGGGGTGGACCAGGCAGTAACGGTGCCAGGGGTGGGGCAGGCAGTAACGGTGCCAGGGGTGGTGCAGGCAGTAACGGTGCCAGGGGTGGTGCAGGCAGTAACGGTGCCAGGGGTGGGCCTGGCAGTAACGGTGCCAGGGGTGATGCAGGCAGTAACGGTGCCAGGGGTGGTGCAGGCAGTAACGGTGCCAGGGGTGGGGCAGGCAGTAACGGTGCCAGGGGTGGTGCAGGCAGTAACGGTGCCAGGGTGGGCCAGGCAGTAACGGTGCCAGGGGTGGGGCAGGCAGTAACGGTGCCAGGGGTGGTGCAGGCAGTAACGGTGCCAGGGGTGGTGCAGGCAGTAACGGTGCCAGGGGTGGTGCAGGCAGTAACGGTGCCAGGGGTGGGCCAGGCAGTAACGGTGCCAGGGGTGGGGCTGGCAGTAACGGTGCCAGGGGTGGGCCAGGCAGTAACGGTGCCAGGGGTGGGGCTGGCAGTAACGGTGCCAGGGGGGGGCCAGGCAGTAACGGTGCCAGGGGTGGTGCAGGAATTAACGGTGCCAGGGGTGGTGCAGGCAGTGGTGCCAGGGTGGTGCAGGCAGTAACGGTGCCAGGGTGGTGCAGGCAGTAACGGTGCCAGGGTGGTGCAGGCAGTAACGGTGCCAGGGTGGTGCAGGCAGTAACGGTGCCAGGGGTGGTGCAGGCAGTAACGGTGCCAGGGGTGGGGCAGGCAGTAACGGTGCCAGGGGTGGACCAGGCAGTAACGGTGCCAGGGGTGGGCAGGCAGTAACGGTGCCAGGGGTGGTGCAGGCAGTAACGGTGCCAGGGGTGGTGCAGGCAGTAACGGTGCCAGGGGTGGTGGGCAGTAACGGTGCCAGGGGTGAAGGCAGTAACGGTGCCAGGGGTGGTGCAGGCAGTAACGGTGCCAGGGGTGGTGCAGGCAGTAACGGTGCCAGGGGTGGTGCAGGCAGTAACGGTGCCAGGGGTGGGCCAGGCAGTAACGGTGCCAGGGGTGGGGCTGGCAGTAACGGTGCCAGGGGTGGGCCAGGCAGTAACGGTGCCAGGGGTGGGGCTGGCAGTAACGGTGCCAGGGGTGGGCAGGCAGTAACGGTGCCAGGGGTGGTGCAGGCAGTAACGGTGCCAGGGGTGGTGCAGGCAGTAACGGTGCCAGGGGTGGTGCAGGCAGTAACGGTGCCAGGGGTGGTGCAGGCAGTAACGGTGCCAGGGGTGGTGCAGGCAGTAACGGTGCCAGGGTGGGCCAGGCAGTAACGGTGCCAGGGGTGGGGCTGGCAGTAACGGTGCCAGGGGTGGGCCAGGCAGTAACGGTGCCAGGGTGGTGCAGGCAGTAACGGTGCCAGGGGGTGGTGCAGGCAGTAACGGTGCCAGGGTGGTGCAGGCAGTAACGGTGCCAGGGTGGTGCAGGCAGTAACGGTGCCAGGGTGGTGCAGGCAGTAACGGTGCCAGGGGTGGTGCAGGCAGTAACGGTGCCAGGGGTGGTGCAGGCAGTAACGGTGCCAGGGTGGTGCAGGCAGTAACGGTGCCAGGGTGGTGCAGGCAGTAACGGTGCCAGGGTGGTGCAGGCAGTAACGGTGCCAGGGTGGTGCAGGCAGTAACGGTGCCAGGGTGGTGCAGGCAGTAACGGTGCCAGGGGTGGGCAGGCAGTAACGGTGCCAGGGTGGTGCAGGCAGTAACGGTGCCAGGGTGGTGCAGGCAGTAACGGTGCCAGGGTGGTGCAGGCAGTAACGGTGCCAGGGTGGTGCAGGCAGTAACGGTGCCAGGGTGGTGCAGGCAGTAACGGTGCCAGGGTGGTGCAGGCAGTAACGGTGCCAGGGTGGTGCAGGCAGTAACGGTGCCAGGGTGGTGCAGGCAGTAACGGTGCCAGGGTGGTGCAGGCAGTAACGGTGCCAGGGGTGGTGCAGGCAGTAACGGTGCCAGGGGTGGTGCAGGCAGTAACGGTGCCAGGGTGGTGCAGGCAGTAACGGTGCCAGGGTGGTGCAGGCAGTAACGGTGCCAGGGGTGGTGCAGGCAGTAACGGTGCC